ATTCAATAAAAGCAGAGCCGGCCCGAGCCTTTTGGGGGCCCTAAACAGAATTTGATTTGGGGGCCCCCTCCCACTACGCGGAGTCACCTGTGCTTGACAATTATTGACACAAATATCACGCAATAATGATACATTATAAATTAATACAGTGAGGTTATGTATTAATACAAAATAAATACTTAATGAAAAATAGATAGCCTACTTAAATAAAAAAGTTTTAACTTTTACTTTACTCTTTTACTAACTCTTTGAAACTTCTTAAAACAAACTGTCTCAAAGCATATCAAATAATTTATTTGCTAAAATAATGACAAAACTGAGAAATCAGAAACATAATAAGAGCAAGGGTTCAACAATGACAATTATTGTTGAAAACTGTAAAAATATTATTATTTCTCAACTGTCTCAATATAGTGTAACTTTATTATTATTATTATTATTATTGTAACAGACTTGGTTGGATTGTACATGACAGAATCCAACAAAGTCTGTTACTATAATACCGGTAATGATGTACTGGCGCTCGTTGTATGTGTGTATGCAATGTATTTTTCCCCTCGGGGCTTGCCGTAGATAGGAATGGGTCAATTGCTGCACAAAACATACCGTAAATAATCATGCAAATATAGTTTTATCTTGCTCTTTTTTTCTCCTCCTCTGTCCTTTTCTTCTTTCTATTTTCGGCACCAGAGGGATACGTCCTTTTTTGTTACATGGCTTAACATTACCGTGACTATACGCAGTTGCGCACGAATTGGCTATACACGCGCGAGGTGTCTAGATTATGCGCATGACAACGCTGGCAGACACGATTAACGCTGGCAGACACAGCAGCAGTGTAATCAGAATTTTCTTGTCTCGAATTATTCATTCATTCATTTTCATTCATTCATTTATGTCACTTGTTTAAGTAATCTAAAATATATATTTTTCGATTTTTCGACTCGATTGGGGGGCCCCCTGCCCCAAGCAGCCGCTTAGTTCGGTTAGGCCTATGCCTCGGGCCGGCCCTGAATAAAAGTTTGCACTGTAAATCAGAAATTGAACCCAGGACACAAGACCTTATTCGCAGCAGCGCCATCTTTGATTTTTAAGGGTATAGCCTAATGAAAGCGGACATTTCTTCAGTGGGTTACCTACTGTAATTGAATGTTATTTTTTTTTTATTTTTTTTTGGATTGTTCTGCTGATAAAACACTGACGAAATATCTTTACTAAGAAATTTCAGTTGACAGAAAACTTTAGACAACATGCTGTGGAGAATTATAGGCTAAGTGATGAGCTTTAGCCTACAGCTTTTTTACAGCGGATGCAAACACAGCAAGTCTATCCCTCACAGCCTCGCTTTTATTCCTTTCATGACATAAGTAAAATAAGGTCTAAATAAGGTCTATTCTTCTGCCAAGTAGTTTTTTTATTTTTTTATTCTTAATTTCCAACAATGAATAGCATGTAGTCTAGGCTACAATATAATAGAAATAGCCAACAAAAAAAGAGAGAAAGGGGGAGAAAAACAGAGCTACATATTGTTGAAGCATAATAGGCTACTTCTTATATTAAATTGTTAAATGAACATAGGCCTATAATTGATATCGCAAAATATGTAGGGTAGAGTGGGGAAAAAAACGCCCCCCTTAAGGAAAATGTGACATTACTGTGAAACAAAACATAAATGTGACTAGAATTGCCATCCCAGTTTTGAGTGTCTATGGCAGGAGTTATTTACCAAATATTAAAATTGCTCAACCTTCATAATAAATATTTTTTTTTGACTGAAAATATTTTTGTACAAAGGGGGCGTTTTGCCCCAGCGGTGGGGTAAAACGCCTCCCAAGGTGGGGTAAAATGCCCCCTTTCTTACCAACCAGTTTGCTTCATAGATCAACAGCAAAATTAACATAGTTTTTAATCTCTAAAAGTAAAAGGCAAGTAATGCAACAACATGTATATATATATACCTATTAATATTTATTTCAGCAATGTACAAAATAGCCAAATTTCTAACATTTTAATATTTTGATTTCTACACTAGGCCTATATGGGGTTGATAATTGATGTAGTATTTGTTCACCACTATCATCAAGAAAAACAGAAAACCCTAAATAAATATTAAACATAAATTAGTATATTTATAGTGAAATATATTCCATAAATGCATTAAAGGTCACTGTGTTTTATCATTGGGTCACCTAACCACCTTCCATCATTGCATTCACCAAGCTAGCTAATGCTCACTTGAGGTAATTTTTTCATGTTTTTATCAAATATTTTGATTTTACCGCCTAGTTATACTGCATTAAAGTGTAAAATAAAGACTTTGATGAACAGAAATATGTTACTGTAGTAATTATGATAAAGAGAAACTATGCCCCTTGGGGGGCGTTTTACCCCTCAGCATAGGGGGCGTTTTACCCCACAAGCTATGTCTTTTTAAAAAATTGTTTATTTTTAAAAAATATTATTATATTCCTTATAACTAACATATGCTCTCAAACTACAGACATCACTATTCATCTATCATACATCAATGTGATATCACTGTGAACAATATTCTATTAAAAACTTGTTTATTAATATCTGAAAGTTATAGCACTTTCCATGTAATCCTCTTCTCTTCAAATACGTCGCTGGTGTCAGCTTCTCCATGGAGACTTGTATATCCCCGTTGTCAACGTAGTGCATAGCAATAGTAAAAATGTATCTTGATTCATTCTAGTGGTTATTTTGGGAAAAACGGGTGGGGGGCGTTTTACCCCAGGGGGGCATTTTCCCCCACTCTACCCTACAACTTACCTCGTAAAAGGTTAATCTTTTCTCAGGTGCGTTTTGAATGACATAAGCGATCAGACCCAAAGATGCTAACCAACACATGGTTACCTAGCACAGTTCTGAACAGTTGTATACCTATACACACACAAAAACTACATTTTATCGAATAACAGTAACACTAAAAAAACATGATGTCACAACCGAAACTTCACCACATGTTTCGGTAGTGACAATTTAAGATACTTTTGAGCCTAGTTCAAAGATGTAGCCAGCACATGGTTCCTATAGCACAGTTCTGAACAGTTGTACACACCTACAAAACTGAGCGCATCCTCTTTGAGGGTCCACTAAACCAAACTAAATTTTTGGGTAATTTCACCCAAAAAAGTTTGCTTAATTGCAGAAAAAAAAGGTGTTTGGTAGTGACGTCCCTTAAAGTTACACACAGATTTTCTGACTTTTGAACACATTTCCCTCAAAATGATGGTAGGCTACTATAATGAAAGAGAGGTACACAAGAATATTTCCTGATCAAAAATGTAGGGGTGTGCGGTGTGGTTAAAATCAGTCTCATATGGACTAAAACACACACTAAATTTCATGATTTAAAAATAAAATATTAAATAAAGTTTTTTTTTAACTTTACTTTGTAAAAGAAATCACAAAGATATTTTTAAAAACAACAATGGAAAAAAAATGAAAACAAATATTTCAATATCATTTTCACAAGTTGAAATTTAGGGGTTAGGGTTCGGGACCACCTCCCAATGGTAAGTAGGCTACCCAATAAAGGATGATTTTAAATATATTAAGCTTACTAATATTTTAAATATTATTGTGGGATTCAATAGAATGGATCTTAAACATCTAAAATGTGAATACTTAAATGCTTTTTAAATGTGTGTGTTTTTGGTTGTCGGACAGCAGTTTGCACCAATTTTGTAGAATGGCCCATATGAAGTAGATGAGAAAATGAGATTATTAATGAGGAATGCCCATAATGTCTCTTTTGTAGGCCAATTGATGGATGTGTTAACACATGGGCGGGCATCAGCTGTATATTAGCTGTAGATGTTTAATACTGTAACATAGGCCTATACAACACTGTAGCCTAAGTTTGAACATTGAGAATAAATGTAAAAATTCCCAAATATAGTCTACCAATAACATCCAAATACACATTTTATTATTAGCAATATAAGGCCAGTTATCTTAATTCAGACATTTAGATAAAACATCTTGTAAAACCACTAGCATGGTTAGGCTATAAATGCATGAATATTTAAAAATTCCAAACAAACATGGACTCATAAAGATTTGAAATCGCGCTTTAGATTTTAATCTGGCGCTGTCGTCATTTCGCTGGTCGTGACGCAGAATCAATGGAGAGTGTGTGGGAGGACCAAATAATCGAGAACGTGCTAGGTAGTTCAATTCATTTTACAGAATCGATTCCTTTGAACACATCATTTTAATAAGTCATATTCAACAACCGATTCAATATTCACTGAGAACACTGATGCATGTTAGGGAAAGGGAATCCCCACAAGTTGTATTTTGAATGTTCCGTGTATTATTTATTTAAAATATGCTGGTAGGCTTTTTTTTATTATGATATTGTTGATTAGCATATGATGTAATTTAGGCCAACAATGGCTATATTGTGTTGAAACTAATTTTGCAACATTCACAGTTTACCATTACGGTAATTTGGAACATGTTAGTAGCCTAACAATAGATATACTATAACAAAAATCTAAATAATACGTGATATCCTGATAATAATTATTATAATTATTTATTTATTTTTATTTGCACTATTTATAGTATAGCCACACACAACTATTTTTTTAATATAGCCTACAATTGTAGGCTTAATTAATACTATTGCACATGACAGCCAATTCAAATGTGAAAACTCACTTAGGTCTTTTTTGTCTCAAATGAAATCAATAAAAAAAAAATAAAAAAAAACGAAGAAGAGGCAAACTTTAGTGTCTAGACATGTCTGGATTTTGTCCAAGCATGAAAGCATAAAACGCCAAACATTAGCCTATGCTGTTCGTCCATTATTAACAGTAGCTGTTTTCGTCCAAATTTACAAGACATTTTTTCTTTAAAAGTACAAGTTTTAGTCACACTGATTTGTCCGTTCATTTGACGAATCAAACGTTACCAAGGCTTGTTAGAACTCCGGCAAATGGATCTGGTTGAACCATTTGGTTTTGCGAATCGGTTCGTCTGATTCACGAGAAAGAACTTCGAACAGAACGATTGGCTCGCGAATCGGACATCACTACGATCGCATGGCGAGGCTTGAGTCACTCAGACATTGTATATTATTTGCTGGAACCTTTCGGTAAGTAGAATTAAGGCACAATCTTTCGCAATCTATCTTAATAAATGCGTATTAGATGTTAAAAACTGACTGTTGAAAATAGACTTGATGAGCGACCAGCGCGCCATGTATGATGAGCATTTAAGCGGATTGTGTGGCTGAGGGTGTTGCCCGAATACCGGCTTTCTGTCGGAAATCATGGTTGGCAGAGTTATCAGTGTAGTTTTCGGTTATTTTTTTCTACTGAATTATAGTAGCTGTAAAGAACATTTTGCATAAAAAGCTGTGCTAATGTGCTTAACTGTTTTGTGGGATATGTCGAGACAAATGTCCGGGGGCATCCAGCATAAATTAAATGTTACAGGATTTTAGTAAAATAACAAAGACTATACACGATTTTCGTTTTAAAATGAGGTTTAATAATTTTGTATTGTCAGTCTATAACGTTAGGCCAGTTTCAACGGTTTTTAGGGCGACATCTTGTCATTTTTCTGTCCACGTCTCTGTCGTTAAATTGAACGCTATGAAGTAGGCTAACGTTACTTCTTCTGTGGGGGAAAAAATAGACCTATATAAGATTGAAAAAATTGGTCGTGTAACTTTTTTTTTCTCCATGATAAGAACCCTTAGGTATTTTAGCTTTTTTTGTCTATAGGAGAGTAAACATGTCTTTCTACCCATACCATCGCATCATCTGGTTAGAAACCGGAGTAATTCAGCCAGGTCACCCACATCACAGATTCATATTTTAGTCAGGATTTGTGCCAGTTACATGAGTCTTTTGACTTTAGAGGGATGCTGAACAAGGTAATTTCTTCTATTATTGAGTGATGACATTTTAGTGGTATGCATTTACATTGTGTTTGTGTTCCATAGACCTGTCATGATTAATAGCAGAAAGTAAGACACCCACCCAACAGGTCATTCACAATTCAGACTGACAATTCACATTTACAGATGACTTTTTAAGTTATCTTACACATTTGACTGCTATGGTTGCACTTTGGCTACATTTTCATTTCAGGTAGGCCTATTTGTTGTCAACTTTGTTTGCTATAGTGTTGCAATTACAAATGGCTTTTGTAGAGAGCTCATGAGCTCTCACATGTTTTAACTAATGTCTGCTTAAAGACTGGAGGCAAAGCTGTTTTCTGCAGAAGAAAATGTTTTAGCGGAGCAAGTCAGCTGTTTTCATCAGAAATGCATCACATTTACGCTCCAAGCCCGTGGTATTTTTGTCTGCTTGCTTTGCACATTGTTTTTCATTCTCTACATTGGACTTCTTATGTGGTAAGAGAAAGACCAGCAAATTCTCAGGACCAAGAATTCTGCAGAGCTTTCCCCAAGAGGGTCCCAATCCTCAAATAAATACTTCCACATGACCTTCAGTCCGTGTGCCAGAAAGAGCTGTTTCTGCACTCTCAGTGACGTACAGGATTCCTTGAGATGTCAGTGACTGCTCTTTTTTTGCAGTGCGGTTTTAGCTATATAGAGCTCCTCTTTTGTTCAATTCCTTGGGAATTTTATTTGCCCTGAGCTGTGGTCTATAAAACTTGATCGCGAGGTTGTAGGGTGCCAGGGAAATGTAGATCTCATCTGCCCTGGATGACTATGACCAGGCACTAACATCTTACATGAAAGAAAAACTTATGGAGCTCCTTCCTAAAGTGCCAGAGGTGGTGTTTGTCGATGGTAGGGGTCACGGAGCTCTTTAGCCTAATCATATCCGAAAAATCGTTGTGTATTCTCTCTAGGTTTAAGACTTTGATAGTTACCAGCCCCTGCAGAATGAAAATGAATAAACATGCTCCTATCTCCAGCTTTGAGGTATGTGCCAAAGTTGGTGAGCATCAGTCAGCACTTAACCCCAAACCGGATATGGGTCATGCAATTATCTGTTTGATAAACAGTTGTTAGCCACACACAGTGTGCCAGGCAGTATGCCAACTTGCACTTAGCCGCAGGTGATTTAGGCTAATTTATGTTCCAGATGTTACTCATTTATGTGCTGATAAGATGTGACTTGTGCATCTTTGTGGGGCGAATTTCAGTGCAGAGCATTTAACATGCATAATAATATATATATATTTTTTAATTCAATGCGTTTATTAGCTTAAATTGGACAGATTATAAATATTTTCATTATTAATATTAACTCATGTTGTCATAGCATGCATGCATTCTTGTGCACAAGAACATATTTGCTTAGGCACAAGACTCTTAAAATGACTACGATTTGACAGGTTTTCACTGTTTTTCTCAGGTTTAGTTGCTGACTCTAAGCTGAAGTGGGTTTGGTGGTCCAGGTGGTTTGTCTGCTGTTTATTTGTGTGTGAGAACTCTATTAGTTCAATAATGCAAGTATTCTTGCAGGTGCACATGAGGGCAGCACACACAGATGTATTGAACTGTGGGTACATCCAATTTCACTCAAACAAATAACATCACGCAAATCAATCAAAAACACTCTCCAGCCGACTGGAACTTTATTCATCATGTCAAATGATGGAATTCCATTGGGAGCTTAAAGGGTTAGTTCACCCAAAAATGAAAATTATGTCATTAATGACTCACCCTCATGTCGTCCCAAGCCCATAAGACCTCCGTTCATCTTCGGAACACAGTTTAAGATATTTTAGATTTAGTCCGAGAGTTTTATGTCCCTCCATTGAAAATGTATACACGGTATACTGTCCTTGTCCAGAAAGGAAATAAAGACATCATAAAAGTAGTCCATGTGACACCAGTGGGTTAGTTAGAATTTTTTGAAGCATCGAAAATACATTTTGGTCCAAAAAAAACAAAAAACTACGACTTTATTCAGCATTGTATTCTCTGTAACGCTGTAAACAACACAATCTTCGCAAACATGTCTAAGGATTTCGACACAGAGGAAGACTTGCATTTTTTTGCCCAGCCATATTTATTTGAACCTGAATACACGGACACACCACATAACACGTCAGCAGCATCTTACGTCATCAGCGTCACTGCGATCTCGTGAACGCGGCTTGACAACAGAACCGGAAGAGAATACAATGCTGAAGAAAGTCGTAGTTTTTGTTATTTTTGGACCAAAATGTATTTTCGATGCTTCAAAACATTCTAACTAACCCACTTGTGTCACATGGACTACTTTGATGATGTCTTTATTTCCTTTCTGGACAAGCACAGTATACCGTACATACATTTTCAATGGAGGGACAGAAAACTCTCGGACTAAATCTAAATAATAATAATAATAATAATTCATTACATTTATATAGCACTTTTCTCAACACTCAAAGTGCTTTACATAGAAGGGGGAATCTCCTCAACCACCACTAATGTGCAGCATCCACTTGGATGATGCGACGGCAGCCATATTGCGCCAGAACGCCCACCACACACCAGCTTACTGGTGGAGAGGAGACAGAGTGATGAAGCCAATCAGTATGGGGATGATTAGGAGGCCATGATGGACAGAGGCGACTGGGCAAATTTGGCCAGGATGCCGGGGTTACACCCCTACTCTTTCGAAAGACATCCTGGGATTTTTTGTGACCACAGAGAGTCAGGACCTCGGTTTAACGTCTCATCCGAAGGACGGACTAAAGTATCTTAAACTGTGTTCCGAAGATGAACGGAGGTCTGACGGGCTTGGGGCGACATGAGGGTGAGCCATTAATGACATAATTTTCATTTTTGGGTGAACTAACCCTTTAATGTGAATTATTGGTCATCTGCCCATCCAGAAAAAAACAGTTATGAGAATTTGTGCCTTATTGGAAGTGAATTGATTTCTGCTAACATTCCTTTAACAGTTTCAAAGAACATGTCATGGAAAATATCATTCAGGAAATAGGGGTGGGCGATATACGGTAGACACGATTAACCGGTAGAAATTTGTCAACCTGTAAAGATTTTTGACTATAGTCTCTATCGCGGTTACGCTCATGTGACATTGCTGTGCTGCGCAGTAGCAGTAAGCTGCGAAAGACAACTCATTTCAGTAAATGTGCGTGCTCTCTGCTCGAGACGCGCGACATGAAGCCTTTGCTCATAGAGCGCGTGAAAACTGAACTCAATGCTTTTTGCGCCTAATTGGGCTTGAACGGTTAAATACACATATGTGTCAGAGTGAAGTCATGTCTTAAGTAAACGTAAGCAGTTGAGAAAGAACAACGCTCGAGTATAATGGATCCGTGTAGTCGGTCTTAAAATGATAGCATCCAAATGTACCTGGTGTCATTATTAATGTTATTCAATTCAAACAACAAAAAATAGAGAAAATCTCTCACTGCTCTTCACTGAATTACTTTTGTATCTTTAATAAGAATAAATGTAGGCTATATTATTTAATTTACACAGTAAATACCATCCATTGATTTTTTTTTTATACATTTAATTATACTTTTTATGTAGTAGGCTATTTCTAGCGCTTGAGATTTTCCAGGTAGGTCCATTTCATTTGTGTCTTTGTTTTATTGTAGTTGGTTTTCTTTGGTCTTTCTTTATCCCTGTTTATTTGTCTTCAGTAAGCTTGAGAGTTCCCTTTCGCTGCGTCGATGGCGCTTTGGGAACGCCCCTGCGTGATTGCGTCTGAATTACTTGTCAATAGGGGTGGAACGGTACACAGAAGTCACGGTTCGGTTCATACCTCGGTTCAGACATCACGGTTCGGTACGATTTCGGTACAATGGAGGGAAAAGCAAAACAAAAATGCAGAAGGCATTGTATTTTTTAAATAAGTTTTATTAATAAAGGCATAGAACCAGTTTATTTGTAGTGCACTGACAATAGTTTTATATAATTAGTTTATTAATTAAATTAATAAAAAGACAAAAAGACCTTGCGATATGTTTGGTAATTGTACCTGAATTATTTAAAATTAATTTGCTATATGTCAGATCAATATATTTGTTTTCCTTAATTTTAATTAACATTATTAATTAACAATAACATTATTCTCATCTTAATTATAAATAATTGATTTCTGTATAAAATAATACTACCATTGAAAACACATTCGATTTTCTTTT